ATATAACAATAGATTTATAACGCATCAGTGAGCACATAATTGACGAAAATATGTTTTAATAAAAGTAGATGCTCTATTTTAGGTAAGTATTATTTTTAAATCATATTATATAGTAATATAAAAACAGTTTGTCTCTACTTCTAGCCAAATCCTCTAATATCTCCAAATTGAAAGTTAGTTTAAAAACGTTTTCTTGCCAGTCCATGTTCAAATATCAGTCAGACTTTCTTTCTTATATCCAATATAGTGCAGAATGCGTCCAATTCAATGCTATTGTAATATGTTTGAGTGGACAAAGCATAAGCTTTCTTTACATTTTATTATTTTTTTATTGTAAAGCCAGAAAAAAAAAATGAAAACATAATTTTTAAAACATTTCACGTTACATTTATAAAAAAAGAAAATAAATAAATAAACAATGATTGCTACTTAAAGAGATGTTGCGCTCAACGAACGGCGACAAATAAAATAAAATTCATTGTCAACGGTTCATTAGTGTATGAAGAAGGATCGACGGAAAGTAAGTAAAATGGCGAAAACTACCTCAATTCGATTCGATTCATAATCTAAATACCTCGTCTAACCGGTTTTGGGGCGAACAATATTTTAGCTGGTTTACACAATTCCAATTCTGTTCCCGGTCGTACTGCTAAACATAGAGTTATCTCCACAGAGGATGCTTCTGTCCATACTGAGTGTGAAAGCAAAATAGTTGTACGCAATTTAACATTAGTTTCATGAGCACCTTGCTCAGTCATAATCTTCCTGAAATCTGACAATTTCGGCACAACTGTGTGTGTATGTTGGTCCGGATATTTGATTTTTATGCGCATGTCTTGTTTCTGTGCGTCTTGTAGGTTATCAATTTCAGCTACAAACGGTAAAGCAGCTATAAGGCCGGCTGTAACTTTTATAACATTATCCTGAGACATTTGAGGACAGGGTTCCAATATATTGGCGACACACATTTTAATTTCAACATTTGGTGGCGGCATTTTCACAGGAGAAGCTGCCTGTACTAAAGGTAATATCTCTCTGAATACTCTTCCAGGTTTTGGATCAACTATACTACCCAATTGATTTAGCAAAGAGGTTGTTAAATCGTCTGGTTGAAATTCCTGCTTTTCATCCAGAAAGCTACTTATATCTGATGCAGTCTGTAGCAGCATTTGGCAGGGGCCCAAGGCACTTTGTGAGCGATCACGCACAATTAAAACTAAATGGAGAGCACTAGCTCTTAGACAAATTTGCTTAACCAATAATATATCTCCATATGTTAGTCCTGAAAAAACATGTTGCAATTTCAAACAGTTACGTACTAGCTGAGCTAGAGATTCCTTAAGCGGTGCACGGTTATGTTGGGAAGCAGTACAGCTTTGCAGTTGTTCAATTTGAATTTGCGCTGCTAAAAACGTTTCCAAGAAATTGGCTGTGCCTAACATTTCCGGATCAATTTCTCCTAAGCGCTGCCAAAAAAAATTTATAGGATTAATTCCAATTATTTCTATTGTATATACTTAAGCACACTATTTACCTTTAAATTGTCTTGAGCTGTTTTTAAGAGTGGTACTCGATCTTTGGCTATAGAGAATATTTCATTGATATGAGCCAGTATGGTTTCTAGATATTCCCGTGAATTATTTGAACCCGTTAAATCGTCAATTGATTTTTTAGATGAGGCACCTTCAATTGGTAGTTCCGGTACCAAAGTGGGCATGGCATCACGCAGGTAAGCATAATGCTTTAATGTAACATAGGGAAACAGACTAATGATTGGTGGCAAATTTTGAGCGGCGTTAAATAACAAGATCAGTATACACAAATATGCGGGATCTTCAACATCGCGTTCTGCGCTATCAAAAAAGGGATGATCCTGGAGCAAATGCGATGTCACTGCCATGCAAAGATTGGCATGTTTCTGTCCAACCTTACGCATGCAACCAAAAGCTGAAAATTTATCTTGCGGGTATTTCGCCAAAACGTCTAGTAACTTTTGTACCACCATGAGCAAGCAAGCCTGGGTGGATACACGACATGCTCCCAACATTAGATGTAAGCCCTCACGCACTTCTACTGAGAAATCTTCTAATGAACTAAGCATTATCTCCAATTGATCTTCTCTTAATACAATATGTTTAGCTATAGCCGTTAAGCTGTAAATCGCTTTTAAACGAACTTCTTCAATTTCGTCATTAAACATATCGACAAGGAAATCCAGGCATGTTACAGCGAAATCGGGATGACGTAATGCCAATTTGCACATAGAATCTACCGTTGCGATACGGACTTCCATAAATTCATCCTCAAGACCATGGACTAAGGCACCACAAGCACCGCTGGCTATCAATGATATAGTGGCTGTGTCCAATTGTTCTTGGGGAGCATCATCACCCCAACGCTTACCTGATGACCATTCACCACTGGCGACCAAGTGAGCTCCTCTCTCATGAGCCGTCTTTTTACGGCGTAAATTACTCATCAATTTTTTGTCTAATGTTTGATGTAAAAATTCAGAACTAACTTGTGTCATATCTCCCAAATGCTTAGCAGCTTGCACGCGTATTTGTATCGATAAATCGCAAAGCGCTCCGCACACTTTACTGAAAGCCGCATCAATTAATCGCATCTCCTCTTCATCGTCATTACTGCACGAAATCATATAGTCTGGATGACACACACCCAATTGAAAAACTAAGCGAAGAGCCTCCTTGCGCACACATTCATAATCATCTTCCAATGTGTCCACAGCTCTCTGATAAAGGTTAGGAGACAATATGGCACCACGTTCACCCAAGCATAAAATAGACCTCAAGGATTGAGCTCTTACCCCGGAATCTTGAGAATCCGCATAGTGCCCCACCGTATCAATAACGCCCTTCTTAGCGTCTGTTAAAGCCACGAATGCCGATAAAACTAATAAAGCATTTTTTTGAGTATGGTGCGATTCTGATATCAACTGCTGTTGAGCAAAGTGAGCGATTTTAGTTACATGCGTGGAAGGTAGCTGATTTAAGTTACGAGCACCAATTTTATGCAAACTGCTTAACCCTTGTGCTATGACTTTTTGAGATTTTTCATGTTTTAAAACAGCTATTATTTCATCTATTAGAGCGTTAACTACTTCTGCAATACGTACCTCGGCTAAGTCTGCCAAAAGTCGCAGTATCTTAACCCGTATCGTTGTGTCACCGTCACGTTCTTGTCGAAAAAGTTCTAGTAACTTTTTAATGGCTTTATACAAGTCCGGAAGTTGACAATCATCCAATACCAACTCATCAGCAATCTTTACCAACACCTCCAAAAGTTCTTTACTATTTTGTTGAGCCACATTTTCAAGAAGCGCTATACTTTGTTGTAATTTCCCTACAAGTGAGCTGCTTTTAGCTGTAGTTTGTATACGTATTTTTTTATGAGTAGAAGTGGCGCTTTCCACTACTTCGATTACAGAATGCGGTCTTTTTAATACCAACGATGCGCTCGTCATTTTTAAACTAAATAATAATAAAAATGATAATATATTCTCCCACGGTTTCCCAAATAAATTGTAAACAAATAATAATAATAATAACACGGGGCTGCCAAGCCTTAATAATA